AACACGTATTACATATTTATCTATTTATTATTATTTTTTTAAATAAAAAATATAATTAAACAATATTATTTTTAAAGAAAATAAAAATTATGAATCTACCTAATAAAAATCTATCACAAATTCGCTAACTCTAAAATCTACCTAATAAAATTTAAATTAACCTATTTATCTATTTATTATTATTAATTTATTAATAAAAGAAAATTCAATTTTCAGAGTAAAATATAGAAACTCTACCAAAGTGTTTCAGTATTTATTTATTTATATATAAAAATATTTATTAATTGATGCAAAAGGAGTTTTTATCTATACTATTATTAAATGTGCAAAGAGCTTCAGTATTTAAGTATGTATTTATATAAAAATATATTTATTAATTGATATGAAAAGTTTTTTTATAAAAAATAAAATAAAAAATAAAAAATAAAACTCTATCAAACTCCAAAATCTATCTAATAAAATTTAAATTAACCTATTTATCTATTTATTATTATGAATTTTTTAATAAAAGAAAATCTAATTAGACAACAATTATTAATATAAAAAATATTTATTAATTGATATATAAAAGAATATAATTTTTTTAAAACTGTACCACAAATTAACTTTTATTATAAGTTCCTTAATAAAATTAAATCTAATTAGACAAGGATATATTTAAAGAAAATAAAATATTAAATGTGCAAAAAGTTTCAGTATTCAGTATTTATTTATTTATATAAAAAATATTTATTAATTGATATGAAAAGAGTTTTCATAAAAAAAATAATAAATAAAAGAAAAAAAAACTCTATAAACTCTAAAATCTACCTAATAAAATTCAAAATAAACTATTTAGCTATTTATTAATTTGAATTTTTTAATAAAAGTAAATCTAAAGTTTCAGTAATTATTTATTTATTTTAAAAATATTTATTAAATGTGCAAATAGTTTCAGTATTTTAATATTTATTTATTTATATAAAAAAAATTATTAATTGATATGGAAAGAGTTTTTATAAAATAAAAAAAAAAGAACTCTACAAATCTCTAAAATCTACCTAATAAAATTCAAATTAACCTATTTATTATTATGAATTTTTTAATTAAAAAAAATCTAATTTTCAGAGTAAAATAAGGAAGCTCTGCCAAGGTGTTTCAGTATTTATTTATTTATATAAAAAAATATTTACTAATTGATATAAAAAAAAAATTTATCTATACTATTATTAAATGTGCAAATAGTTTCAGTATTTAAGTATCTATTTATATAAAAAAAAATATATTTATTAATTGATATGAAACGAGTTTTTATAAAAAATAAAACAAAGTCTATCAAACTCTAAAATCCATCTAATACAATTTTAATTAACTTATTTATCTGTTTATTTTTATGATTTTTTTAATCAAATAAAATCTAATTAGACAAAATTATTAATATAAAAAATATTTATTAATTGATATATAAAATAAAATATTTTTCTAAAACTCTACCACAAATTAATTTTTATTATGAGTTTTTTAAGAAAATTAAAATCTAATTAGACAAATATATATTTAAAGAAAATAAAATAATTTCTATAAAATTCTATCACAAATTATTTATTTTATGTTCAACAAAACTCTATCACAGTAGACAGAAATATAATATTTAAAGAGTTTATATAAAATTTTAACGCAAATTACCAATTATATATTTATTAATAGTTTTTTAATAAAAGGAAATCTAATTAAAGAAGTATTATTAATATAAAAAATTATTTATTAATTGATCTAAAAAGAGGTTTTAAAACAGTTTCTATAAAACTCTAACACAAATTACCTATTTATCTATTTATTATTAGTTTTTTAATAAAAAGAAATCTAATTAGACAATAATTGTTATCATAAAAAATATTATTAAGAACTATTAATATAAAAAATATTTATTAATTGATAAAAAATAGTTTTTAAAAGAGATTCTATTAAACTTCAACTCAAATTATCTATTTATTTATTTATTATAAGTTTTTTAATAAAAGAAAATTTAATGAGACTATAATTATTAATGTAAAAAATATTTTTTAATTGATATAAAAAATAAAATAGTTTTTCTAAAACTCTACCACAAGCTGCCTTTTATTGTCTAAAAATTACCTAATAAAATAAATCACAATAAAATATTTATTAATTGATATAAAAAGAATAGTTATTTTTTATGGATAATTATCACAATATAACCTGTCTGGCCAATTATAATTATGTCATTATCAGGCGAGGACACATGTCATCATCCTATTAATTTATGAAACCTATAAATAGAGGTATGGAGGAAGAAGGAACGGGTAAAAAAATTGAGAAAAATCTAGAAATCCAGAATTTCAGAAAGAAATTCAGAGGGGGCATAAACCTAGAATTATAGAAGCTCTGCCAAAGAGTTTCAGTATTTATTTATTTATTTATATAAAAAAATATTTATTAATTAATATAAAAATAGTTTTTATCTATAAGATACAGAAGTTCTTCCAAAAAAAAAATTTATTATTAAATGTGCAAAGAGTTTTAGTACTTCTTAACTTATTTATTTATATATAAATATATTTATTAATTGATATGGAAAGAGATTTTATATATATAAAAAAAAACTTTATAAAATTACAAAATCTACCTAATTTCAAATTAACCTATTTATCTATTTATTATTATGAATTTTTAAATAAAATAAAATCAAATTAAAAAATAATTATTAATATAAAAATATTTATTAATTGATATATAAAATAAAATAATTTTTTTCTAAAATTCTATCGCAAGTAAGCTTTTATTATGAGTTTCTTAATAAAATTAAATCTAATTAGACAAGTATATATTTAAAGAAAATAAATTAATTTCTATTAAATTATATCACAAATTACATATTTTATTTTCAATAAAACTCTATCACGTTAGACAAAGATATATGTAAAGAGTTTATATAAAACTCTAACACAAATTACCTATTTATCTATTTATTATGAGTTTTTTAATAAAAGAAAATCTAATTGGATAAGCATTATTAAGATAAAAAATTATTTATTAATTGATATAAAAATAGGTTTGAAAAGTGTTTCTATAAAACTCTAACACAAATTACTTATTTATCTATTTATTTTGAGTTTTTTAATAAAAGGAAATCTAATTAGACAAGAATTATTAATATAAAAAATATTTATTAATTGATATAAAAAGAGTTTTCTAAAGTGTTTCTATTAAACTGTAATACAAATTACCTTTTTATTTATTTATTATAAATAGATTTCAGAAAATAAAATAATTTCTATAAAACTCTACCACAAATTATCTATTTTATTTTCTTTAAAACTTTATCACATATAACCTATTTTTATCTATTTATTATGAGTTTTATAATAAAAAAAATCTAAATTAGACAATGATATATTTAAGGAAAATAAAATAATTTTTTAAAAGAGTTTATATAAAACTCCGATACAAATTACCTATTTATGTATTTATTATGAGTTTTTTAATAAAAGAAAATATAACTAGACAAGAATTATTAATATAAAAAATATTTAATAATTGATATAAAAAAATAAAATAATTTTGGTAAAACTCTATCACAAATTACCTTTTATTATGAGTTTTTTTAAAGAAAATAAATAGTTTATATAAAATTGTACCACAAATTATCTATTTTATTTGTAATGAAACTCTATCACATTAGATAATGATATATTTAAAGAGTTTTTATAAAATTTTAACACAAATTACCAAAACTTTATCACAAATTAACTATTTTATTTTCTTTAAAATTCTATCACATACAATCTGTATTTATTTATTTATTGTGAGTTTTCTATTAAAAGGAAATCTAATTAAAAAAGGATATATTTAAAGAAAATAAAACCATTTTTATAACTCTATCACATTAAATAAGGATATATTTAAAGAAAATATATAATAATATAATAATACATATAAATAAAATATAAATGTTAAAGAATTTGAACATTTCCGTATTTATTTTTTTAATATAAAAATATTTATTAATTAATATAAAAAGAGATTTCTATCACATATAAGTATATATCCCTTGTATTTATTTATTTATTATGAGTTTTTTAATAAAAGAAAATCTAATTTTACAAAGATATATTTAAATAAAATAAAATAATTTATATAAAATTGCATCACAAATTACCTATTTTATTTTCTATAAACTCTATTACATTAGATAAGGATATATTTAAAGAAAATAAAATATAACTTAGGGTCTTCCAAAAACCACAAACTCCATATAATAAATTTTTATATCAATTTCAATCTAATGTATGATTAGTATAATTGAGTTTGTATTTTAAAATTTAATTAAAAATTAATATAATTGAATTTCTATTGTAAATTAAAAATTATACTAAATTTCAAATTACCTAATAAAATTTAAATTACCTAAAATAATTTGTTACTTTGCAAAACTCAAATATTTTACTATTAAAATAAAAAATTATTAATTAATAAAAAATAAAATTTAAATATTTCAGTATTAATATAAAAACCTAAAAGAATTTATTAATTTACGAAACTTAAACTCTACCACCAATTTTAAAATATTTCAGTATTTATTTATTAATATAAAGTATATATTTATTAATTCATATAAAAAGAGTTACAAAAAATTGCAACGTTTATTGTTACAAGTTTCAAATCAATAATTTTATAAGTTACAAAACATTCATCACGTGTATTGTGTCTTTTTCTAGTATTTTTTAAATGTTTATAAGACATTTTGGCCCAAAAGTGTTTTGTCTAATTTTTTATAAAATTATAAATAATTAAAAAATATATGAAAACTTTCCTTGTAGCCATCATATTTATTTATTTATTTATTATTTTTTTTTTTAAACTTTAACATCTGTTGATATTTTATTGAGTCATTTGTTATGCGGCCTAAGGTTTGTTCATTTTTTTTATTTTTGGGGTCCGGTTTACAATGCAAAAATACCATTTTGCCCTCATAACTTATTTTATAACATGTGCGTCAACTTAGAAACCCTAATACTTCTTCACAAGTTGCATTGCCGCTTCTAGAGAGTTTATCCGTGAAGCGATCACTGCTACTCGCCAATCTCCGATCCGTGCCATCTTGGATTTCCGGTCTGTTCTGCTCCGAGCATCTCCTTCTCCAATTAGTGAACCCATCTGTAAGTTCTTATTTTTGTTTCTTATTTTTGTTCCTTATTTTCGTTCCGATCATCACCATCACCGATTAGTGAACCCATCTGCAAAGCCTTATTTCTTTTTGCTACAAATCCTTATTTCTTTCTGCTAGTCAGTCAAAATGATTAATTAATTTGAATAAAACTTGACTTCTGAGTTCTTATCAATGATTGAAGGAAAAAATGAAAAGGATTCCGATTTGGCGTCTTAAATGAAATGAGCGGACTAGAATTAGCAGTATTCTAATATTTACTTTCTACCATACTATCTATTAGTGTTGTTATTGTAGTGTATAAAGTCGTACTCTATAATAAAGATAAAATAGGATCTTGATCAATTTACAATACTCTTCATATATTTATCAATTCCATATATGGAATCGGAATCTACATAGTATCCAATTCTATTTCTTTGGTACATCTATTTATTCCGATCAATCTAAAATAATCGACAGGTAACTCTTATTCTTATGGTTCTAATTCCTAGATTTTTTATTATTTCCAACATGAATCCCAATTTATTTTTAGCATTACGTAGGGAAAAAAAAAACATTAAGTTCTATTTTTTTTTAGCATTACGATGAAAAAAAAATTCTAAGTTCTTATTTTTGTTTCTTATTTTTGTTCTGGGTCCTTATTTCTTTTTGCTCTTCTGAACGATCTGAACTGGGAAAAAAGTCAAAAAAGACAAAAAAAAGGCAGGGGAAATAACTGTAAAATGCATATCAGGAACGACAATGATCTTTATCTATAATAAATAAAGAATTGTGTAATCAAATAAGAAATCACTATATTTGTTTTGTTGTATCACAATGTTTTGTCATTGTGAGTGAAAAGTGTACTATGGTTATTTTATTTGTATATGGCATCGGTACAGAGAGGATTTAAAGGTGTGCAGAGAGCATTGCCCGAACCAAAACTGAAGAAAATAAAAAATGGAGGAGGAAATTGGGCTTTTAGGGTTGGGAATCATGGGGATGGCCATGTCCAGAACCTTGCTCCGCCATGGCGCTAATTTGACTGTATGGAACCGGACCCCTTCTAAGGTACCCTCTTTCTCTCTATCTCTCTATATACATAAGTATATTTTTGTATGCTTGGACGTGGTTGGTGAGTTCTGTTGTTGCATTTGATGTTACTTGGCGCGAAACATTTGAAATTGATGTGTTTTCTGCCCTGAGTTTTGAAATAGAGGTGTTGCCTATTCCATTATTTTTATAAAGGAACTGTTAGCAATATCCTAAGGCTGCGGACATCTAAACCCCCAGACCCCTCAATGGAGGGAGACTTTGGGGGAGACTTTAATTGATAGCAATATTCTGTCTGCAATTTCTTGATAACCCATTTTGCTGAAAGTTCTTACCTTGCTGTTCTTCCCTGAGAAGGAAATAGATTCTTCAACGTACTGGTTAATTTGGTACCGTGCATTTTAACTTAAATTAAAATGTTAAGTTTTCTTGTATGAGTTTTAACATTAAAATGTTTGACTTTTCTTGTATGAGCTTTAACTTAGTAATTAAAAAAAGAAGAAAATCAAAGACCATTATCAAAATTGGTCAACATTTACCTCAGTCAAGAGTAATGAATGATGAATACCATAAACTCAACAAAGCTTTGACTCAATAGTTTGGGTTCAATTACATGACAACTTGCTTCACTATTCAGTCTATTTAATGATACAAATTCAATAGAACCACATGCTATCATATTTTTCTTAAATATCTCAAACTTTTAGTACTTTCCATTCCCTAATTAATCTCGATGTGGATCGTGTCAATCTTCCTCATTGGTGCATTTATTTTTCCTATTTGGGTGTTAGTCTTCTTTAATTTGAAATATGGCACCTACAATACCTACCCCATGAAAAGCATTCACCTACGTGAATTATACCGAAAACAAGGATCGAATTCTCAATTTAATCAAAATTCATGCCCCTGGCAATTATCCCCAACTTAAAATTTATTTAAATTCGTGAAGGAACCTGCAATGTTTTTATTTTTCTTTTTCTATAAATTCAATTAAGTTGTGAGTTAATTGTCTACACCACTTATTAGCGGTCCAATACTCTCTTGGAAATCCACTATCACAGGTATGTTGTTTGTAATTATTTGTACTCCGTATTTGTCTACACCACATACCTTGGCAGGAAGTCTCTATGTGCATGTGTGTGGTGCACACTCGCATTATTCTGTCAGTTTCAATTTTCTAATATCAATTGACAACTTTTAACTCCCTTTTCCTCAACAGTAACGACAAATATTTTCTAATTAGAGGTGATTCTGCTCCAGCTTAATGTGTCGAGATCTCTTAAACAAGTAACTCCATAAAATGAATGCCGGTTGCCCTCATATTTCTTTCTTCCTTTTCCGCCTAAGTTTGTTCTTACCTTTTCCCTTGCTTGCCACTTGGCTGAATTGAATCCTTTTCTTCTTAGCTTGATTACAGATTTCAATCGAGATTTAGTTGGTGAGAAATGTACTATGCTAGGGTAACTTTTATAGAAAGCTTTGGTCCTCCTATTCTGGCGGGTGGTCTTAGGTGTAGGAATAGTAGATGTCATGGGAAGGATCAAAGTCTCTTGGATAACTTGAGATGGCCATTACTTGACTAAATCAGGATATTCAGAGAAAGTAGTCCCTCTGGATTCGGCCATAGAGTCTGTCTCATCTTCCTCTAAAAGGCGATTTGAGGCCATAGAAGGTGGATTGAATTCTACATCTGAAATATAAAAATTCTGGGAATTTGTGCTCAAATTTGGTAAGAGAGTGAAAAGAGTTCAACTGCTTCTGAAAATGAGACCCCCCCCCCCCCCCCACCCAAAAAAAAAAAAAAAAAAAAAAAAACATTGATAAAGAAATGATAAACACTCATTTACCAATTGGTGGTGTGTAGCTTTTGTGATTCTTGTCCAATTAAAATTTTTAATTTAACTTTTGATGCATAGCAAATACTCCGTGATTAACTGCAATTATGAGGTTGCAATTTAGTAACTTTTCAAGGGGACAATGCATGTCCCACATGTCGCCTCAAAAATTTCTACTCCCCAAAAGGACATTTTTTTTGGGACAGAGGGAGGGATTATCTTCAACCATGAGGCATATGCACTTTGATCTGTGGTTTTTGACTCAGCGGGTTGAAGTGTGACCAACTTAATCAAGCAATTGGCATTATTTATTTATTTAATTTTTTTTCCTGTTTTTGTCATGTTTGAATCAAAGCCTTTTGTCCTCAAACCACCTTCTGATTTCAGTGTGAGCAGCTGGTGGAATATGGAGCTTCAGTAGCTGAAACCGCTGCAGCAGTAGTTAAGAAGTGCAAATATACCATTGCGATGTTGTCTGATCCTTCTGCAGCTCTTTCTGTTAGTAATTCAGGTTGGTATTTCTAAAATAAACATTTTAACTGACCTTATTGAATTTTCTATTTTTTTTTTTTTTTTTTGCTTAGGTGGTTTTTGATAAAGACGGTGTTCTTGAGCAAATTTGCAAAGGAAAAGGTTACATTGACATGTCAACTGTTGATGCTGACACGTCTTCGAAGATCAGCGAGGTTGACTTGCATGCCAATATTACTGCTTCCTTTTCCTTGTTTAATTGTCCTGCTTTCTATTCACTGTATTTATACCTATGCTACAAAATATGGTGATTGTAAATGCTTATATTAAAATTTTTAGCTCAACATTTTCTAGTTTAAAAAATGCATCCACAAGCTAAAAGGATATCTGCTCTTTCATGTCCAAGATGATATCAGTTAAACTAAATGGGGAGGCATGTATATAATAGAAGTACTTTTCTTAAACAAAAAATTTTTGGAACCATGCATTTAAATTTGTTGTAAAATAAGGTGGTTGTAAATACTTATATTATATCTTGTAGCTCAATGGTTTTAAATTTCTAAAAAGACTAAAATGCATCCCCAAGCCAAAAGGATATCTGCTCTTTCCTATCCAAGATGATATCAGTTGAACTGAGGCATATTTGGAAGAAGTGCTGTTCCTAAACATAATTATTATTATTTTTTTGGTACCATGCATTTAACTCTCTCTTGAAATAAGGTGATTGTAAATACTTATATTAAAATTTGTAGCTCAACGTCTTTAAGTTTCTAAAATGCATGCACAAACCAAAAGGATATCTGCTCTTTCGTATCCAAGAAGATATCAGTTAAACTAAGGATAGGCATATTTAGACAAAGTACTGTTCTTAACATAAAAATTTTGGCCCCATGCATTTAGCTTTCCTTCTTTTGAAAATTAATTTTTTCTGAATTTGCAACTTTAATGCTTATTTATATCTTTTTTCTTTTCTTTTCTTTTGCCAATTACCTTTCCCCCACCCAAAAAAAAGTAAAAAAAGAAAAGAATCAGTTTGATCCTTTCAAACACGTGACAATGGTATCCTCTTTTGTTGTTGATGAGCTGTTTGCTGAAGACCAACAATGTTTGCAATATCAGAAGCATTTTGGAATGGATTTTACAACACTTGATGTACCTAAATTTTTTATTACAGAAGTTTACACAAAAAAATGATGTTTGGTAAGAATAAAATAAAACAGAAAAGAGAAAGGAACCTTTATATGTGGAATTGATAGTCTGATACTTACATGATTCTGATATATACAGGCAATCACGTCAAAAGGTGGTTCTTTTCTTGAAGCTCCAGTTTCAGGTAGCAGAAAGCTTGCCCAAGATGGTGAATTGGTAATTCTTGCTGCTGGGGTGAAGGTAAATTTACTTTCAGCTTTACAGATGCAGTTTGTAGGATTAGTATTTGTAGGCTTACTATGTTGGCTTTTGTCTTTTGTCTTTTACTTTTCCTTTTTGATTGAAATACATATTGAGAAACTAAAGGAAGAACAGTCATCAAAATGACCAGGTGAGCATGGTAGATGGCCTAAATTTGTTACCCAAGCAGTAGCTCCAAGTGTACATCATATATGTGGGATGACATGTGTTATCTGTCAAAATTTGTTGTTCAATCATTCACCAAATATTTTTTTTGAGCAATTTACCATGTAAACTAAGAAGATCATTTCTAGTAAAAGTTCTCTTACCAATAAAGTCAAAACACGATGAAAAGGAAATACATCAGGTGTCTTTTTCAGTACTAAACATTAAACTGCAAATTTGGTAATACCTTTTTCGAATTAATATAGGTGACTGACAGTCTAGCTAGTAGCTATATTGTTATCCTATTTTAGAATTTCCCTATAAACTGCAAGTAACTTTTAAATATCCACAACCATCCATGTCAATGGATGTTACCTGGACTTTATTGATCTCTTGTTTCATAGAGATAACTGTGAAGACCAATGAAGAAACTTCTCTATTTATAAGAGACCTTGGGTATAATCTTTCCTGGCACATTGAAGTACTTAAAACAAAGTATTACATTTACAACTGTTGGCTTTGTTGTTTAATTCTCCCTGTCTCTCTTCTTCTTCATTTTTTTTAATAAAGAAAAAGGGTTTTGGAAATGTGCCACGAGGCCTTGTTCTCTTGTTTTTCTTCACCTTCTTTTTTGGGTTTGTGCATGTTCAACAAGCTTTGTCTTGCATTTTTTTTGTTCTCTTGATTTTTTTCCCTTTAAAAGTTGAGAACAAGTTGGTAATATTGTATAATTCTCAATTAGTATCTTTTGGATCTTAAATCAGCATAGTTTGCACTTTGCTATCCTAATTTTTCGACCACTTTTTTATGACAAGCTTGGTCAAAAGAAGAGTTAAGAGCATGGAGTGCCTGGTCCAATATTCTTAGAATCCCATCTAGTTGAAACAAAACAAAATGCTCAATCATGCCTAGTGTTAGAGGGGTCTTGTCCCATATCGGATCTGGATGTGAAAGTGATTGGGTATATATGGGTTGTGGGTGGTAGCACCACCTAGTCGCTTAATGATGGGGAACGTGATATGATTCGAATACATGAGTTGCACATGCTTCAACATTACTTTTAGAGAAGAGCCCCGGAGGTGTGGGGGTTTGGAAGGCCATTCGGAATGGGTGGAACGAATTCTCTAAACATAACAGATTCAGAGTTCAGGATGGCAGGGATATTCGTTTTTGGGAGGATATTTGGTGTGGAGATCGTACCTTAGCTTGTGCATTCCTTAGATAGTTCCGGATTGCGGAGGATAGGCATGTTTCGGTTGCTGACTGCTATCGGCTTGATAGCGGGAGGACGACCTGGGATGTTTCTTTTCGGAGATCTGTTCAGGATTGGGAGCTGGATGATGTCTACGGTTTTTTGGAGTTGCTGTACAGCCAGGAGGTTTGTGGTGAAGGTAGGGACTCTCTTGTTTGGATCTCTTCTTCTCGGGGTACATTTATTGTGAGATCTTTCTTTGGTTGTCTCTCGGATTCAGATGGGATGTTTTCGTGGAAGGTAGTGTGGCGCTCTAAGGCACCGCTTAAAGTGGCTTTCTTTACTTGGACAGCGGTGTGGGGCAAGATCTTAACCATTGACAATCTGAGGAGAAACCATTGTATTGCTGAATGGTGTTACATGTGTAAGCGTAATGGAGAATCAGTGAATGATCTTCTTTTGCGTTGTCAAGTGGCTTTTGATTGTTGGAGTCTCTTATTGGGCTGTTTCGGGGTCATGTGGGTCATGCCTGGTTCTACGAGAGGGTTGATGGAGGCTTGGAGAGGGGGCTCCATGGGTCCTCAGATTAGAGGTTTTTGGAGAATGGCGCCCTTGTGTCTTTGGTTGTGTTTGTGGAGGGAGCGTAATAGTAGCGCCTTTGAAGGAGAGGAATCTTCTATTGGCGTCCTTAAGTCCTCTATTATTAGTTCCCTTTGCTTTTGGGGCTCGGGTAGGCAGTGCTTTGCTCCCGATGCCATGACAGATTTCTTGGCTTCTTTGGCGGCTTAATGTTTGCTTTTTGCTCCTTTTGTTTTTCTTTGTATTCGGGACGCGTTCCCCTTTTGAATGCATTCTATGAATTCTCTTGCTTATAAAAAAAAAAAAATTACTTTTGGAGAAGAGGGAAAGAGAAATAAAATTGGGGATTTTAGTAAGTTATGATTTTAGTAAGTTATTTTTATCATGTTTGAATTTCAGGGTTATTTTGGTATTTTTATTTTTTAGGGGTTGTTTTATAATTTGCCTATTTAAAGGCTCCTTTGTAATTTGAGAACTCAGTTTTTGAGAATTATTGAATTATTACGTGAGTTAGCGAACTCTCTCTCTTTGTATCTCTTTTCCCTTGTGTTCTTGCTGTTCTTAATCCCTCTGTCTATCTATCCTACCTCATTTGGTCTGATTTCTCATCTCCTTCGTCTATTTTCTCACCTCCTTCATCTAGCCTCATCTTATCTTCTCATTCTCACCCCTTTCTTTCTTTCTAGTTACAACGATCAAGTTCATCGGTGCAAAGTATCCAAGTAACTAGTGATTACAATCACCAAATCACCACAGCCATTACAAGTACCAAAGCAAGAAACGCCTTCAGCCCTAAACCATTTAATTGGTTACTGTTCACGACCTCATCTACTGTTTCCATCAACTCACAAAACCCAAGCAAGCCTACTGCCTTCAACTTCACCCATAACCTAGTTGAAAACTATTATCAAACCCCAACCTGAATATCCACAAAACCCAAAGCCCACTCCACAAAACTAGTCGTTGGAATCGCTTCTGTATCAGTTTGGTAGCACTTGAACAATCACGTTGTCTAAAAAAAATAAAAAAAATAAAAAAAAATTAATAAGAAAACATCACAGATCGTTATTTCCAAAGTTTTCTCTTGCCGTCACCATAGTTAGCCATATCGTATATCTGCTATATCTTTAGTCAAGAATATCTGTTATATTTTCGTACTTGATTTTGGGGTCAAAGAATTCAGTGTGTGATTTTGGTAAGTCAAATTTGGTTATTGTCGGTATCGCCACTTCAACACAGAATTCAGGGATTGATTTTGGAAAATCAACTTTGTATTATTGCAATCTTTGAGATCGTTATTGTTACCAAAATTTCAGCGCCACTGCTTTTGGGAAACTCAACTTTGGATTATTGCAATCGTTAGTTGTCACCAAAATTTCAGCGCTACTGATTTTGGAAAGTCAACTTTGTGTTATTGCAATCTTTGCAATCCTTATTGTCACCAAAATTTCAGCGTTACTGATTTTGGAGAGTCAACTTTGTATTATCTCGTCTGGTTTGGAAAGTTCAGATTTGAGTTTGGAAAGGATGTATTTTGTTTGCCTTATAAACCAGATTTGACCAAACTCAAATTAAAATTAGTCAAATCCTTCCCATTTCAGGAAGTAGCAGATTGAGTATTCAGGCCCAAGCTTAGCCCGGTTCAGAACATCTGACCTCAGTCCAAATTTTAGAGCCATAGACCAAATTTCAAAGCCACAAGGGAATAGTTCAGCATGTTCAGCAGTGAACTGACCAAAAAAAAAAAAAAAAAAAAAATGAAACTTCAGAAAAATATTTGGAGCAGGGTTTCTCTCTCATACACCTTGTAGAGCTACTTTCACGGACACTCAAATCAGACTTGGTAAAGGTACAAATGCTTCATTGAGAATTATTCTAAGTACTTTTATGTGTTTGTTGAAGTCTATAAATTTGCAATAGGTCCTTGGAATTAGAACCATTGATTGTGTTGATTGGCCTTTGGAGAAGAGGGAAAGAGAAATAAAATTGGGGATTTTAGTAATTTGGGGTTTTTATTTATGCTTATTGTTATTTTTATCATGTTTGAATTTCAGGGTTATTTTGGTATTTTTATGTTTTAGGGTTTGTTTTATAATTTGCTTATTTAAAGGCTCCTTTGTAATTTGAGAACTCAGTTTTTTAGAATTATTGAATTATTACGTGAGTTTGCGAACTCTCTCTCTCTTTGTATCTCTTCTCCCTCTTGTTCTTGCTGTTCTTAATCCCTCCGTCTATCTATCCTACCTTATTCAGTCTGATTTCTCATCTCCTTCGTCTATTTTCTCACCTCCTTCGTCTAGCCTCATCTTATCTTCTCATTCTCATCCCCCTCTTTCTTTCTAGTTACTATAAGTTACGACTTGTCCTGCGTCACTTAAGCTATTGGGTCGGATAGTGAAGCACCTGGCCTGTTATAGTAGGTATTAGAGGCTGGCCCAGTCCTTGGTCCGACGTCACGCCAAGTGTGCAACTGGGAGGTGTTCGGGTCTAGGACGGGTTGGTAGAATGCAATGAGGGCATTGCGAGTTCGGGTATGGGAGAAAGTTAGAGGAGTCTTGTTCCACGTCGGATTTGGATGGGAAAGTTATTGGGTATATATGAGTTGGTGTTCGCACAATCTAGTTGCTTAAGCTTTTGGGTCGGACCACAAAGTACCCGGCCTGTGACACCAAGGCACTTACCTAGGTATGAATTCCGCACCACTATGAGGGAGCTAAAATTCTGAACTTAAATAATTGTGGTGGACAAATTTATGTTTAGGGTCTCATTTTATGAGTAAAAAAGAAAGAAAGAAGAGGCAGAGAGCTACCTATGACCACCCTTCAGAGTGTAAAAAATTGAGGAAAAGTAAGAAAGAATAGAAACATAACAAACTTGGTCTAATAACCCCAAGGAAGAATTGCTCAAGGTAAAATAATATTCTAATCATTTGATTTATCTTCAATGGTTGGATGTATTTATCCTCGACTCTTATTTAGAAGAGAGTACAATAGCAGTCCAGAAATTTTGTACATAATTTTACATACAAATGTAGACTCCTTATAGAGACTAGAACTTAATTTTTTAAGATAGTATATTCCCTATAGTCTACTTAAAAATGTTTATTCACAAGAGAACTAACAATAGCAGTACCCGGGTTTCAAACAAGGTTCTTAAAGTTTCATGAAATGCAATTAATTTTGTTGTAACAATATTTTAATTTTTATTAGATCTCACTTTCACTTTCAAAATATTGTAGGTTTTGTTTGCCTTTTGAAAGTATTTTGAAAGTGAAAGTGAGATCTAAAAAATATTAATATATTGTTACAACAAAATTAATTGCATTTCATGAAACTTTAAGAACCTTGTTTGAAACCCGGGTACTGCTATTGTTAGTTCTCTTGTGAATAAACATTTTTAAGTAGACTATAGGTTTTGCCTTTTGAAAGTGAAAGCGAGATCTAAAAAAAATTAATATATTGTTACAACAAAATTAATTGCATTTCATGAAACTTTAAGAACCTTGTTTGAAACCTGGGTACTGCTATTGTTAGTTCTCTTGTGAATAAACATTTTGAAGTAGACTAGGTTTTGCCTTTTGAAAGTGAAAGTGAGATCTTAAAAAAAATGAACAATAAGGCACTTACCTATATATAAGTTGATTTTTAAACACAACCATACATGCTGGCATGCTCAGAGAAGGACATTAGCAGTCATTGCTATTAAGTCTTACGTATGTTCAATGCAGGCTGCAAACATCAACGGGTTGGTGGCCTAGCGGTATCAACCGGAGGTTTCAAGCTTTAGTGGAGGCATGTGTGTGAGTATCAACTATGGGGAAAAAAAAATGCAGGATGCAAACATTCTATGTTATTTAGGGGTGCATGGTGTCCGGTTCGGTACGGTTTCAAGCTGAATCGGAACTGAACCAATTCTAACGGTTCCTTAACAATTGTAACCGTAACCGAAACCATTTAGGTTTGAAACCGAACCGTGAAAGACCGGTTCATTTCTGTTCCGAACAACAATTTGTGCACCGCTAATGTTATTGTCATCTCCACTTATTTGTAATTGCAGGCACTCTATGAGGAAGCACACTGCCTTTTCGATATCATGGGGAAAAAGACATTTTTCCTTGGGCATGTTGGAAATGGAGCAAAAATGAAACTTCTTGTGAACATGTTAATGGGGAGGTAATAATTCATTTTTGCACGAAGGATATTTCTGAATTAGAGTATTCTCTTCAGCATTTTCCACTTTCCAGAGCAAGAAAACTGTTTCAGAATGTAGATTTTGACAGCTGAACATTGCCTATTTTGTTTGGGTAGATTAAAATTAAATAATGATGTTATGTGTGTGATTTTTTCCCACATGATACATTTTTATTCTATATTCTGAAATGTTAAGAGCATTTGTCTATATTGTTAGGTACATAAATAGACAAGGCAAAAGTATCCCCACCGCCGCCGGCCCCCGCACCCCCCTCCCCCCTGGGTCCCGCGGCGACTTTCACCATATGAGCACAATACCACCCTTGGACAAAAAAGTGGGCAAATCACTCATAGTACTTCCAAAAGTGAGCAACTTGCTCTCCTGACAGAGACCTCCGGCCACTTTCCGTCCAACTGTTGCATCACGTGACCTGTACTTTAGTATAATGCCAATATTGCCCTTCAATATGACCGTTGTACCCCTTTGTCTAATCCATCTTCTTCCTTCTATATTTTAGAACCTGCTCTCTCTCTCTCTCTCTCTCCCCAACTACACTGCTAAACAAAATTTCACAATAAAATTTACTCTTTCGATCACTCCCCTCCCTCTTTGGTTGGTCCCATGTTGAGCTTACACAGCCATTTTTGCAGGGATATTGACCCAAATTCTCATTTTAATTGCCTTCTTCCTTTTCTTGGGATACTTATATAGAAATCCAACCTTGCTTGCTAATACTAAGTAATTAAGGGGATGTCAATTTAAATATATATAGATATATCTGTATTTCACAATTCATCTTCTTCGCTATGAGTTGTAAATCTTCACACACTGGCCTACATTGATTTTTGAATGGTGTTATATATATATATATGTATGTATGTATGTATTACCATTAAAAAATATATGTATATATATATGTATGTATATATATGATCATCTCTCAATAAAAGGCCAAACTACTGAATATATGCACTTAAAATTTTTTGGAAGATGTAGTTCCCAATTACAAAAGCATACTTCAAAGGGTGAAAGAAAAAAAAGACAATTTCTGTATCACTGTAAGAAACAATTCAGCAAAGTAAATGATTTTAATTTCTTCTACAACTTAATTCATCTTATATAAACAGAAAATTAGCTATAATTACAAAATCAAATTGCCAAAAAAACTCGAACTTTATCAGTGTAAGAAAAAATCGAGAAGGTTATATGGTTTTAATTTCTTCTATAACATTAATTTCATAACCCTTCTTCTTCTTCCCGAATTTAATTTCTTCTGTAACATTAATTTCATAACCCTTCTTCTTCTTCTTCCTGAATTCGTAGCGAAGAGCCAGAAATCGCCGGAGAAAGTGTTCTGCACTCTCGACCTCTACGAGTCCATCTCTGGCTGAAAATCCAATTGATCTTTTCATTTGAATCAACCTTTGCCGTCCGATCACATGCCATCACCTCTCTCTTGAAATTGCTGATACCAGGTGATGGTTTACATTCTCTCTTTATAGTCGTTGACTGGCCGTTGTCCGTACAGAGTCCCATGCCGGAATCTTACTTCTCTTGCTCGTCTGATGGTTAATTGGTTAGGGCTTGCGTTTGAGCAGCTTAGATAAGGCCCCAATACTTATATATATATTTTTTGGGCTCAAGCCTTGTGACCAGGTTTCTTTTTGGCATGTTGTGGTGGAGGTGTAATCGCCTATGGCGCATGTTGGTGGCGGTGAGGTTAGACAGAACTGACGAGTGAGAGTGGGAGGGAGCAGATAGATGTGAGGGTATTTAGTATTTTTATACTATTTATCTTTTTTTTTAAAAAAAAAAAAAAAAATTAATTTTATGGGGTAGCTTGGTAAATTTACAATTTCGTCGACGAAAAATGGCCGGAGGCCTTTGCCGAGGGCAAGTTGCTCTCTTTTGAAACTACTATGAGTGAACAATTTCGTCGACGAAAAATGGCCGGAGGCCTTTGCCGAGGGCAAGTTGCTCTCTTTTGAAACTACTATGAGTGATTTTCTCACTTTTTTTGTCCAAGGGGGTATTGTGTTCATATGGTGAAAAAGTCACTTTTGCCAATAGATAATTATTAAACATCATATTACAATATTAAACTAGCAATTTGTATATTCTCTCCGTGTTGTTGATGAACCTTTCATCTACCATCTAATTTTTGTCTTGTACATTTTTATATGGAAATAGATCAATCAAATTCATGAATGAAATCTCTGTCCACAAGTTTTTGTGCTACTTGATTTTGGCTTATCCCTTAACTTTTAGAGAGACCACTTTTAGTCTCATTTGGTAATTTGGCAATTTGGCTTCTTTTATGGTGGCACCTGTTCATTCATTTTTTTTTTATTCGAAGCCTTTGGGAAGGTTATATTTAGTTTCATAATATCTACTTTCAAACTACTTGTATGCTCCCACTAGAATAACTACTTCCTCTGAATCTGTACCCATGTGTCCTGGAGCATCTTTACATATGATCCCTGGTTCACTGCTACTTTCTACTTGGCACGAGATTCTTCTCTTTTTATTTGTAGTTTATTCATATCTATATGAGCTGTGAGTTTCTTATCAACACGTCTGAAAACTTTTGGAGTGGTGAAAGCCTACCATATCCTTTTGCCCCAACTATACATAATCTTAAAATTTCAAGCATCTTATTCAGTTCATTTTCACACCCTGGGGCATCTCTTTGTTAGGGATATTAGAAAAGATATCTCAAGTAACTTGAATCTTCCCACTGCAAGAGGGTAACAGAACCTCCTTTTGGTGGGCAATTTTTTTAAGATCTCGCTTAAGTTGGAAAGCTTATAATATCTTATTTTCTCAATATCTTATTTTCTCTCATCTGGATTTGGAAGGAATCCCCTTCAACCATCAGTGCCCCACTGCCTTCCATTATATACTATGTGACACACTTCTATGCTACGCTAATCTGACATGTGAATCTAGTCTGTTTGTGTGAGTAAATAATTTTGAAATTCCTTGTGGTTTCAGAAAAGTGACATTATTGCAAGTCAATATAACATAGTTGCACTACTTTATCAAGATGTTTAAAAAATATCACAGCATGGTCATGGGCTTTGTTTGTTAAATTGTAACAGTAGTTGAATTCTTTGCAGTGTGTTGGCTGCATTTTCAGAGGGAGTTTTACTGGCTGAAAAAAGTGAATTGGACCCTCAATCTATTCTCAACGCATTGGTGAGATGGCGTACTAGAATCTTTATTTAGACGTCTGTTGGTGTTGAGCTAACTCTTGATATGTTGCTTTCTTGCAGGACCGAGGTGGATTTGCTAATCCATTGTTATTGACGAAAGGAATCTCCATGATTGAAAGTTGTTACTCTCACGCATGTCCTCTGGAACAGCAGTTGAAGGATATGAGGTTGTCTTTAGCCCTTGGGAATGAGAAAGCGGTATCAATGGAAGTGGCAGCTGCTGCCAATGATGTAAGACTTCTCCTTATGCTGACTGTGACAAAGAAAAAGACTAACCCAAGGTCTATTATATATCCTTAAAATTGATCAAGAAAAGCTTCAATGCATGAAGCAGGGGTGACAACTTTTTACCCCACCTTAGATTAGGTGACTCTAAAGTAAACCTGATTTTGTTGACTCAATGATTCAGTGGGTTTATAAAATAACTGCGAAAATCCCTCAAATCTGGTCGGTTATGGAAGTGTTTACATAGCTCTTTAATGATTGAATTCACACATTCGTCATGTAGGCATTCGAGGAAGCGAGCATCATGGGTTTTGGGGGCTATGATTTTTCAGCTGTGCACGAGGCGGTGAAGGACCTATCGATACGACGCCGTATAGATTAAGCCTGATGGCTGTTATAAAACTTCTTTGGTGATTATGGAAGCCAAAGCTGTGCGTTCCAGCTAAAAAGTACCACCGTGTGATGATGACGTGCTTCTAATGAATTGCAAAGGCTTATAACTAGTGAAATTTTTTGCTTTTCTGCTGGTTGGAACAGTAAAAATTGCAAATATGAAATGTATCACGCGGTTTGTTCTAGTTTTGGTTGCAAACCTTTCTTTTTGTGTGCGTATTAAATCAACCTAAGAGACAAATAATTGTAGGCAAGTGGTCTGTACGTGTGAATCAATCTTCAAATACCATGTCCGCTTGAATCTTTGTGCGTGATCAATTTATGCTAAATTCTCTACTGCACTTCAAACATTGCATAAGCAGGTATACACTAACAGTGACTATGAGCACCGGTGTCAAGTCATGTGCTCTGTCATGTGCCATCAATTTCAGATTGTTCTAATCATATGATAGTGTTATTACAATCCTCATTGTGCTTATGCAATGTTTGAATTCCGAGGGCAACAGTCATATGTCAAATGTTGCCAAAATGTAGAGTGAGAGGCTCCCTTTTGCGGGCTGCAACGGTCAGAAAAAGGGTAGGGTAATGTGCTGTCATAGACGGCATCCTTATCCACTTGAGTCATCGTCTTCAAACCGTACGAGGGGTTCAACATCTCAGCAAAAATTTAAGCCAAGTGTTGTTCTGCAGAATCTGTTTTCCAGAAGACCTATCCACTGCAGCCCATTTTCACTTGTCAAACCAGATTACCAAGTTTTAAAAGCTGTTGTGTGCTTCATCTTCCACAGAACCGATTTCACTTGCTGCTCTTCATTTAAAATCAATCATGGCAAGTGTAAAACACTTGATAGAAACCATTTCAGCTGGATTCAAGCATGGACAGGTTGAACATCCTTCACATCTTCTATTCCTCTGTGCTGAAGAAGCTGGAGTTGAACAAGCCCCCGTTTCCTCTGTGCTGAAGAAGCTGGGGTTGAACAAGCCCCCGTCGTTCAAGCCAGAGTGTTGTGGCTATAAAATATATGGGTTCGTACTTGAGAGTGAGACAGTTGAGTGTGTAATCTCTCTTTGAAGCATACATACTGGATTGAGGGTGAGCACCCATACCTCCAAGGTTTTTTAACCTCACATTGAGGTTTTATCTTGCAAAAAAAAATTCTTTATGTCAAATGGGTTGCGAACCTACATCGGGCTGCAACTTGAACGAGTTAACCTTCCTAACCCACATCCAACCGAAGTTTTGAAATTTGAGCTTTAAATTTATAAATCAGTTTCATGTTTGGGTTAAGTTTAAAACAAAAATTTTAATTTTTTTTTTCTCCTTTCTCTCTCTCTCTCTCTCTCCGCTGTCCCCTCTACCGCCGCCGCCGCCCCTACATGAAAATCTAGTAAAGTTGGGGATTTTGAACTAACAAACACAAAAAAATCTTACAAGTTCCACACGTTGCATTGAGTTGAAACAAAATTTCAAATATACAGATGGTTGATTTTTGTTAGGAAGTCAATTTCCAGAATAATTTCTCAGGAAAATCTAGTGAAGTTGCAGATTTTGAATGAGAACACAAAAAACTTACGAGTTTCCCATGTCGCATTGAGTTGAAACAAAATTGAACAAAATCCCCATGAAGCTCGGATGTAATTTCGGATTTTCCTACACTTTCTCGGGAAAAAAAATGGCCGGCGAAACAGAGAAAGGCATGATAGAGAAGAAGAAGAGAAACTGAAAGTACTGGGTTTTGATTTCTTGAACAATCTGAAATGATATACCGATCTGGGTTTTGAACTTTTGATTCTTGCAGACAGATAGATAAAACTAAAATATATGGGTGTATCGAGATTCCAAAGGCATCGACATCATCACAAGCCCCTGCTGCTTGGCCTGGTGGGATTGGGCGTCTGCGTGTTTGAGAAAACCCTAACTTTGGCTCACACATACACACACATACATATACAGATCTGAAAATTCATATATCACCAATTCGTAAAATCTATCTGAAAATTAATATATTACTAATTTTGTAGACGATCCACATACAAATATCTATACATATTTATATAAACAGAGTTTCGTAAGGGGAAAGAGAGAAACGTGGATCGACAATTATATATACACACATATACGTATGTGTGTGTATATAGAGAGAGAAGTTAGACAACAAAAAAACTAAATGTGAGAGGGCAAGTTCAGAGAGAAAGGAGATGGAGGCGATAGGGGACTCTGAAATGAGTTGCCCTAAAAATATTTTGTTTCTTTAGAATTATAAAATAATATATTATATAATACATATAATATACATAAATTTTTGAAATTTTTTTTTTATAAAAAAAACTCAATCCGTCAACCCGATCCAACTCTTCCGAAAATATTCGATCAAGGTTATAACCATAACCCATATTGAATATAATTCGTGTTAGCCCAATTTAATTCGATTCGGGTTAAGATTGGGTTATGACTGAACTGAATTGGGTCAGTCCAAGTTGCAGCACACACTTGGTGTAAATTAGGGTTTCAACTTGAGCTGCATAGTTAACTACTTCAGTGCTGATTTACAACTTAACGGAGACATTGTTCAACAGCCTTGGATGTACGGGACGATAAGAAGACAATAACGGATGCATGGAGCCTTGATACTTTTAACATCAACTACCACATGAGGAAAAAGAGCAGCCAAATCCGGCATATACTTTCGAAGCAAAAATTGTTGAAAAAAATAAGCGTAAAGACAATCATTACTGATTCTCTTTTATCCATAGAGGATCATCTCCATCGAGGCTGCGAAACAAAGCTTGAAGAAGGTTCACTCCTTTTCGCTTTATGAATTCAATTATAGATCTCAGTTTCCTATCCCAACCTGTTGATCCCGTGGAAAAGAATAAGAGTAGTCATCTTATTCTCATTAGTTGGACGAGCATTGCTATTTCACCCGACTTAAAAAATACTTAATATCTATTCTTTTTTGAAGTCCAAGTGTCATGTTGTAATTAGTGGAGTCCTTAATAGAAACAAACATGCCTCTCTCCTCTTTGCCCACGCCCCTAAGTTTTCTCATCCCCTCTCTCTATATATACAAATGTTTACATATATATATATATATATATATATATATTCATATGTATTCCCTTTCTAAACTCTCTCTATTTTCATCTTTTTCCATATGAGTTATTGAGATCCGGTTAACCATGAATCTAATTCTTTAATTCTCAATTATTGTTCTTGATATCCAAAAAAAAATTTCAAATGACGAAAAAGATAAACGAAATAGATCTGCAAACGCAATTTTTGTTTTCTTCCTCTTTTTCTTTCTTAGGGTGAAAACTATAGTTGAAGTTGAAGATAATAGAAAAGGAAAAAAATTTCATTCCCTGCAACAAAGCCTTTTAATGGAAAAAATATTTTGTAAAGAGAAGAATTTTAAGCTATGGAAAAAATATTTTGGAGAAATTTTAAGCGAAAATATGTACATACGAGTAATTTGTACACAAAGAAAATATATAACAGAAAGAGCATAAAAGGAAACCAAGAGGAAAGGGTAATTTTGTCTAAAAAATGTTTTGCATTTAATATGCCATGTGAGGCTAAAAAAGGGTATTGCATTTAATATGCCATGTAAGCCTCGATATTGCGATTAGTGTATTGCCACGTAAAAGTCGGTTTTTATCGGTTACACGAAAGTCGTTAAAAATATGATTTTCCTAGTTGGGCATAAGCTTGGTTGTCAGTGTTAAAAGAGATGGGCGGAGGTGTTGTGGTGGCGGGCCTGGCGGCGATTGGTATTGGTCACGGAGAGAGAGTGTTGTCAGCCCTAACACATGTTAAAACCACAACAATTTAATTTAAAATAATGTAGAGATATTTTAACTTAGAGGATCCTAGTCCTTCTTCGCCCTCATATCAAAAAATTTGATCAATTGAGAATTCTCAAACTACTCTTTACTTCCATCAATCTCCTTACCTATATATATATATATCAATATTTTCCTTTAGTAACTTTAATTCTATCTTATAAATATTTTGTGTCTTTTGGATATCTTCACCAAAAGGAAATGTAGTATACAATTATAATAACTAGAATTTAATTTTAAAGGCATTAACTCATATTAAAAATAGTGTGTCCGTCATCATAAAAGGAAACATTTAACAATATAATTATTTTATAGGAACAAGATAGCAGGTAAACGCTTTAATTTAAAAGTATTAACTCATATGAAAAATAGTGGTTTGTGTCGGTCATAAATTAAAGGAAACTTTTTTAACAATATAATTTTTTTCCTGTTTAACAATATAATTATTAAATAGTAGGAATAAGATGCCAAAGAAACGTTTGTGTCCATTGGGTGGTATTCACCTAAAGAAAACATAGTATAAAATTAATAGTAATCAAAATTTAATTTAAAAATAAAATTAATAGTAATCAAAATTTAATTTAAAAGCTTTTTAAACTAATATAAAAAATAGTAAAAAAATGTTAAAAAATATTTGAAAATTCAAAATATCCGTAAAAATAAATAAATACAGTATGAATGATTAGATGAATCATTAAGTACTTTAATTACATATGGATCATTAGGTGTCTTAATGAGAATTTTTATAAAAAAAAATAAATTAAGAAATTCCTTACACTTTTAGAATAGTATAAGCCTGCACCGGATTGAAGCAGATACAAAGAAAGAAATACTAAGATACAACCCCAGAGAATTCAGTTCCATTCTTATACAAAATGAAGAACATAAACCAGCACCAGAGAGAATGGATACAAGAAAAATGCTAAAATACCAGTCCAGAGAGGATAGGTGGAGCGCAAGAACGCAAGCAGACCTATAGTGGCACCAACCACCAAAACAACAAGCACTTCACTTGAAAAGTTCCATGTCAAGCCTTTTATATATATGACTACTATAAATATTGACAAGTTCATTATTTTGTTTGATAATATTTTCAATTTTTACTATTTTTCATTTCTTGGATTTTTCTTATTTTACGAGGGCAATTTCGTCTTTTCTCGTTTTGCATGCCGAACATCGTAGGGTATGCCGGGTGTGTCCGAGAGTTGGTTGGGGTATTCCATTGAGTTTAAGACTTTTGGAAATGCATCGGTTGCCATTTCAGCATTTTTCTATTTTTCGGACCGGGAGGTCCCAGGTGGGACCTGTTACTAGAATCGTTGTGCACGGGAATTTTATTTTGGGCACATGACATTTCACCCATTATTATTTATTACATGTTTATGTGATTTTATGTTTAAATTAAGGTGTGGTGGTAAAGTGTTTAATGAATATATATATATATATATATATATATATAATGTTAAAGATATTATTTTATGTTGTGGGACCCACCACTAATTAGTCA